TGTGCGATACTAAATATTACATATTCAATTGTTGATATGAATTTTTGGAATATTAACCAAGGTTATGATGATACATTCTTCCCATTCCATGAATCATATTAAAAATAAAATTAATTTTAAGCGTAATTAATTAATATCATATTAAATTACCATTTCGTTCGAATAAAAACAAAAATTGAACAATATACTTTCGTAATTGAATGAAATTTGTTATGTTTAATGTGCATTATGCATAATCTACTATGAATACATTGACATGATTTTCAAAATCAATTTTAATAATATTTTTCGTAAATTATTATATTAATTTATTATATTAATTTCGTTATATTAATAATGTGACGACTGACTTTGATCACATTATAGATATTAACTTTTTTTATGCTGAGAAATTAAAAAATAATGCCTTTTATCAAAACACATCGAAATTCTATTTCTAAAACAGGATTTTATCAAAAAGGTTTTTTTAATAAAACATATGTTTTTTATTGTCAATGTTTAAATTATTATATATAATTGACTACGAAATTGAAATCAAAATCACAAAATTTGTTTCCTTTAAGTTTGATATAAAATTTGATGATAAAATTGTAATAATTTTTTCTGCTTTATAGATAAATATACACTCTAGTTTCAATACTATTACAGATTTTTTTATTTATCAATTTAAGATACTTTGATCTTTTATGAATAGTGTATTAGAAAATTACTAATTTTATATAATGATTGTAACATAAGTATTTTCATTATCGTTGTTGTTATTCTTTAAATTGTAAGTATTAGTCGTTTAAATTAATTTTGATCCATACCTTTATTGAATATAAACTAAAAAACCATTAAATATGATAACTTAATACTATAATTATTATAATACGAAAATGATATGAATTTATATTCAATTCTAAAATTTAATGCTCTTTTCTATTTGCAAATTTCCAAGTTGTAATAATGTAGTTTAATAGTTGATAACAATGATTCCGTTACACTTTTATTCAAATTTGTCAAAGTTATCATATTTTAGAGAATAATAAACCGTATATTCTCCTTGGAAAAACGAAATTTAAAAATGTAAAAATTTTCACAAAAAGAACGAATAAGAGAGATAGAATTTGCTCCATAACTAAATATTTATAAATAATATTTTAAGACAATAGCACGGACAAAATCATACGTAAACTGAATTTAAAACTAAATGTAAGGTAAATGTATTTATTATAATTTTCATAAATCAAATCTTTACACGTATTCTGTTTCAAAATATTATCACTCGCTTAACAATTGCAGGTAATGAAACAATGATTGTCAGTTATTCTGACGAGCATGAATAATAAACTTTATTTAACGAAATAAAGATTCTATATTTATGATTTTATATAAAAATTCAATTTATATAAAGATTTAATGATGTAACATTAAAATTACGTTAAAAATGGCTGCACTAGTGAACTAGATATGATATATTCTAGGGGGGGGGAGGGGAGGGAGAGGCGGCAAAGCGTTATTGCATCTATTAAGTATAACAATATATAATATAAAGATATAAAGAACTGTATGTGCACATATTTTGATGCAAATAGAAAATGAAATTACAAAACCATGACAAATTATATATAATGATTTTTAAGTGAGGAGGTTATTCGACATTTTGACTTTTCAATGTCAGGTTTTCAATAACAGAAATTTGCTCTCAAGGCTGATAATGCATACGTTGATGTTTTAATATATAAACAATTGGTTTAAGAGTTTAGAGATGATATGTGGAAACGTGGTAGAAATGAATATAAAAAAGCATTTAAAGATAATGTCCTTTTGATATTTTTCCAAAGAAGTAATTGCGTTATTTTCGTAATTAAGTATGAAAATTACTTTATTAAGTCAAGTACTTTAGGAATATGAAGAACATAACGATAATTTCTTACGTACAATTTAAACTTTGTATTTAATTCAATATCGTAACTTACATTATGCCGTGTCTGGCTATGTCATTCCCGAATCTACTGGACCAATATATAAGTGCTCTTATGTTATTTTTCAATTAATTCAGCATTTATTTAAGCTCTACACATCGACACTACCCAACAGCTTATTTTAAGTTTACAATTAATATTTTAATATTTTATTTATTAAGTTTTTGTGTTATTTATTATCGATAGTATTTTTTTTTGTTATTGTCAAATAATAATGTAGGAAATAGGATACAATAGATATCTCAATAAATAATTCAAAGTTATTTTATAATCGTTTTACAATATTGCTAAATTCATACGTGCATGTTTGATAATGAATTATACCCACATATGATGAAAATATACGAGAGAATGTAAGTCAAACAGAATACTGTATTTCCTGGTACTATTATATACTGCAAGACCACAACTAATAGGAAGGATCTAATAAACTAGAACTTATAACTTTTTGCTTAGAATGATTGAAGTAGTCGTTATAATATGTCTTGTAGTAGATGTTCCTGCAAATAATTACCATTTATAACATATTTTGTAGCAAAATTAGGGAAATATAATTTTCTATTAGATGTTCGATTATTAAGACCTCATTTTTATGCTTATTTTTACCCAAAATTTTTAATTAATTTCATTTAAAAACTAAATTTTCATTTTAAATTGTAAATTTGTAATTTAAAATTACATCATTTCATCGTCAAATCATGCTCATACTGTATAATGAATGATTTTTATTATTTTTAAATACAAATGAAGAATAAATAATAAAATATTTTTCCTAAATAATTCGTGCATTATTTTTTTAATTTTCTATTGTTTTATTGTAAATATTAGTAAAAATATTATATAAAAACACAGCGAAGAAAAATATGAAGATTATAATGTTTTTAGTATATGAAATAATTCAATGAAATATGTAAGTAAATATTTCATGACAGCAATGCTTTATTAACGCTTCTATATGATTAAGGGATAATTGGTTTTTTATTTTCATTGAACGAAGTTACCTGAGTTATTAAAGACTCTCGCAAGTGATAAATCCAGACTCATATACCTAGATAATATTTATAATATATATGCATTATCAAAGTTACCTATTCTTAAGATCACCCATTAAAATTATAATATTATTCTTAAAGAGAATTTTAAACTTCACTTGACATCCGAATGCGATAAGAAAATTAAAAACGATGTGTGTAATTGAATGCAAAACTAGCTTTTGAGTACTTAAACTCATACGGTTAAATGGTATTTAACGTTAAATTTTTATTGCTTTTTTTTCTTTGTGTCGGACACTTTAGAAACTCGTTAGACAGGCACGGAATTACAGCGTTCTGCATATAACACGCGTAAGTAGATAATAACGGTTCCTTGACATGGTCAGACAATCTATAGTTCCGAAGAGAAAGCTACAGTTTAATAATCGGTAATTATTTCTCGGGCTCCCATAATCAATAGCAGAAGCGGTAAAAATAAAAACACAGGAAAAATAAAAGGTAACCGTAAACTAAAAAGTATAATTGTAAAAAAGAATTTCTATAGACTGAGCATTATTTTCGATAATTATAGAAAATTATTTTCAAACAGAATTTTCAAAAATAAAGAACGTTTTTTTAAGGAAGCTACATAATGATTGTTCGTTATATAGTAATATGGAAATTAAGTAAGGAATTATTGTTGGGGAAAAATTCTCTTACATAAGCAATCTTTTAAATAAAACAAAAAAAAAACAAAAAACAAAAACAAAAAAAAAAACAAAAAAAAACAAAAAAAAAACAAAAAAAATATAACATAATACAAGATTGTTTAACATTTTCACCTATTCATAATTATAACTTCTTTAGGGCATTCTAATAATAAATAAATTATAATAAATTTTTCACCAATTAGATTAATAAAGTTAAGATTATAAACAGAGATAAAAACTTATTATTACGGAAAAATGTGGCGAACATTTTTTTTTTTTTTTTTTTTTTTTTTTTTTTATTACATAGTAAAGAATAACTAACGATATCGGCATGTTTATTGAAAACAAAATTAAACAAATCTTATAAAAATTAACAAAGACAAATATGTAACTCTATACATTAATCGTTGCAAATAGTTATTAAAGAGTATTTATTTGTTTATTAAATATAAATTGAAAGGAAATTTGTTCAATGTTGCTATATTTACTAGCACAGAATAGTATGTATAAATGATTAACGTTTCAATTATTAGTAGTTCGTCTACCACAACTTTTAATTACAATAATTTGAAAGTAATTATTAATTAAATGATAAAATCGAGGCATACGGTATGACTTTCATTTTTATATGTCGGACACTTTCATTAAATTTTATTAAATATAATATATCGAGTGTTGTCTTTTTGAGTAAAGGAATGAAGAAAAGGTAAATTGAAATAAATGAAAAATCGTATTTATAAAATACTTTAATTATATTTATTTATATAATCTAAGAAAAGCTTCATCGCTCGAAGCTTCTCAAAGTCGACTTTAACCATCTGCGCCATACATTTGATCACGGTTTTGCTTTTTTCTGTTTTTTTTGTGTATGTATATATATATATATATATATATATATATATATATATATTCATATTATAGACATATACAAATCACTTTCTACCTCTTGGCTCTCGAGTCCGTCAGGATAGAGGCCATGAATGACTCGCCCCTTTAAAAAATATATTTCATCGCGGAGTTCTCGTCGAAATAGATCCTTCGTAATGTATGTATCGTCGCGTGTGTATGCATGCACTTGCGAGTAGTACCTGCATGTATACAATATATATGTACTCGGCCGTATCCATGTAAACTTGTGTGTATCTCTCGCAATGCGCGTTCCACTTAAATTCGCGGTTTTTCAATTATCTCGTATCTTGTTTTTCTCTTGAACTTCATTCCATCTCAGTTGTGTCCCCACTTGGGATAATCAAAAATAAAGGAGAATACTCTTTCCATCCATCCATCCATCCATCCATCCATCCATCCATCCATCCATTCCTTCCACCCTCTCTTGCTATCTCTCTCTCTCTCTCTCTCTCTCTCTCTCTCTCTCTCACTTTCGCACGTACATTGCAAGCGCGCGCGCGCACACATAAAGACGCGCACTGGCACAAATGTACCCTCTCCTTTTATATATTGCACAGCATATCATACTCGCGTTTCCCAATCTCACGTGCAAGAACAATCAGACGTTCAGTTGCTTGAAGTAGTGCCGACAATAAAGAGTCATCAGCGAAGGAGCCGTATCGATTGTACACAATAATGATTCCTCTCCCTCTGTCAGTTTGTCCAGCGAGAGTGTATATTCTCGATCGAAAACACCTATTTTTGTAAATTTACGCTTATGTTAAGTTTATCATAAAAACACAGTTTATCGCTATTTCATAAATGTAATATTTTATTTTTTAATCCGCCGGGAGATATTTTAATCGGCAATAAATATATTCATTATTTTATAGTCAAGCAAGATTGTGAAAGATAATTATTTATAAATCCCGCGGGAAATACATTAACTTTTTATACAGTAATATTATTTTGTGCTATATTCGCACATTAAAATTACTGCTCAAAATATTGAAATATACACATTTTATCTGCTTTATGTAATTATATTGAATATAACAGATTGCTATTCAATTCGAAAAGTTGACTCATCGAAATACAAATATAAGCCTTTTTAAATTTAATTTAAATATCAGCCTTTAAAAAATATATAAACGCCAAATTGCTACGTTAAATAATATAAAGTATTTGAATTCTAAATAAGTATGATTAATTATTGATCGATAAGTTACCTTTGTTTATTTTTTTATTTTATTATTTTTTTTTTTTTTTTTTTTTTCGATGAATCAAAATAATTATATCCATCTAAGCGATGCAGAATGTATTTATTTTAAAATACATTGTTTCACTATTGACTAATACATAGGGTAACAAATGATAATTATTCAAATAAAATTACTAAATACCCTATAATTAAGAATAATAATGAATAATATGTTGATTGTAAATTGTTTAATTGTTCACGAGTGCAGTGAGTTCATTTCATAATATAGTTAATGTATTTACGATAACTATTTAATAAAGTACCTTTTCGAATAATAAGACTAAATGTATAGATCATTATGAATCGGCCAAGACAATGTTGATTAAGATCGAGTTTTTAATTCTATTTATTCTTTCATTTATTTATTTATCTGAGTTATTATTTTATTTTCTTCTTCTTTTTTCTTTTAATAGTTTTACGATACTCATATAATAATCATACAATCGATACAATAATTTAAAATTCAAGAAAAATTTTTTAACGTACTTAAAGTCCAAATATTAAAATAGCATCATTGTTAACTAGTTCAGTTTTCATTGGAACAAAGATTAATTGCCTCGAAGGCGCAGACATAAAAATTTTTCAAATATCAGTACTTTAACTCTATCGTGAATTAGAAATTGCAATAATCGCTAGACTCTAATGAATAGATTAATCATCTCGATGATATATTAAAAATTTACCTTGATCGATATTTCCTCTTCCAAGAACAATAAAAGCTAAGAAGAGTATGTCCCGATAAATGGAGAAAGGCGTTTGATCGGTAATTCGATTCCTATTTCGTTCTAATGCCACTCTCTTGATTGGTTCAGCCAAGTCATTGCGCCTTACATAGGTTATCACATTTTGCATAAACCTATTAAAAGAGAGAATAACAAATGTTTTTATAAACATTAGTGATACTCGCAACATAAGTGTATTCCGTTTGAGGGCGAATAGGCATTTTTGTTAATGTAAAAGTTAGCCAATGATTATAGATTAACATTCGTTAAAATGCTTCATTTTGCATTCAACGAAGCAAAATTTTATCAATCGACAATCAGTAATAGCACTTTATTCATTTTATATGTGAACAATTGCGCGTATACGTATGCTCGGGTGGCGATAAAAATAAATTAATAAGACGTTTCAAAGTTCGTTTAGTGCCTTTGCATAATGGGACGATGGGCTTTAACGAAGAAGCTCATCGATAAAATCTATATTCTGAATAATTGATCCTTAATTATGGATTTGAAGTTGGAAATTGGAATGGAATAATTATTGAATAGTTAACTCGCGACACTTATACGTAAGAATACATTGGATGGAATAAATGCCGTCGTGCCGCTCCAAATCCAAATCGACATTAATTTACGACGACAAAGTATAACTGCAGTTGGGGAAATATTGGGATATCCAAGCCAAGATAATTGAGTCGAGTCAAGTCGAATCGTGGCAAGGGCCAAAGGCCAAGGGCAAAGGGCAAAGGGTAAATAATTAAGTAAGATCCTCACGTCCGATCCTCGATGTTGTTCTTCCACTGTATATACATTGGCAGTCTGTCCATGTGAAGCTTGTCGTTGTCCCAAAGAGTTCGAACGCCGACGCTCGGGCAACCCGTGGTGAGTAGGTCGACACTGCGCTCGCAGTTGCCGAGCCAAAGCTCCGGCAAATGGCTCGCCAGGTTGATCCTCTCGTAATACCAGATGAGGTTCCAGTATACGATCGGGTGCTCCTGGATAAACCTGTGTTTAGTAAGGCACGAGTCGCCCTCTTGGCCGAGCACGTTCTCCAGCTCTTTGCGCAGCACCAGGGGATTGAGGTATGGTACGGTGACCGGCTCCGGCAGCTCCCGGGGCTCCTGCAGGAGATCCGCCATCAGTGGATCGTGGCCGCTCTCGTTATCCTCGCATCTGCCGGCAGAAAGGCAGAAAGGCGCGCGCTTCAGCGATTTAGCTTCGCGTCGATTTGTCTACTCGTGCCGGATACCAAGGATACGCTACCAAGTATAATTGCTACCTCTTGGAATTCCGAAGCGCGTATTAAGAGTCCATTCTTACGAGATAGAGCACGGGTTCCCCACGATTCTCCAAGAAGTAGAGCTCACAATTTTTTTTTTTTCTTTTTTTTTTTTTTGTTATCAAGACTTGTCCGACGGAGAATACTCGAAAAAAAATAGCATTAATTTATCATTGGTAGTTGGCCTTGCAAATCGACAATACTTCAAATTTAAATGTGCTGAGCATGCTTTAATAATTTCTCAAATAATGCGACTAAACTCATACTTTCTCATTTACATGTAATTTACATTCTAATGCTAAGAATATTATCATAGCGAGAATAGAAAAACTTTTATCTTCTCATTCAATAATAATCATTTAACAATAATGCAATATGCAACGTTATTAAAGGTAAAAAGACTCGCATTATTTTAATGAAAATTACAATTTATTTAATAGATATTTCAGTACTTTGCTGCAAGTATTACCAAACAATTTATATATTACAGAACCGACGGGGAAAGAGATATAGGTATTGCATAAAAATTCTTAATAATGAATAGAAACTTATGCTACGATTACAATACTACGAGATAATATAAACAAATTTCGCTAATTCAATGGCAGATAATATATATATATATATATAAGCATTACTTTATCAGAGTAAATATTTTTCATTGCATGATCGGCCATTAATATGATGAAATTGACAGAAAGAAAGATAATAATCGAGCATTTTATAAAAATGAAAATTCTAAAGTGTCATAAGCTGTTTATATATTTGTACAATTTGCAATTGATCAATGTTTTCTAATGAATGTTTATATTAAAAATTTATTTTTAACTTTACATACGTATCAATATATATATGTATATATATATATATATATATATATATATATATATATATTTGTACACACACGCACACACGCGCACACACACAGACAGATTGACGTTTAAAGAGATAATTCAAGAATTAATCTTGAAATGGAATTTCCAAAACTTTATTTAACATTATGCCGAAGATTTTATCCTTCTGATTGATTAATCATCATAATCAATATAGCATTAGTTACATAATACACAATTATCTTAAACCTTCAAATTTATGTAGATAATAAATGTATTACACGTATTAAACATATTCCCGATTATCAAGCGTCATGATTTTTAAAAGATAAATATCAATGTAGAAGGAAAGATCCATAATGCATCGAGACGTAGCAGCTGAAAAATCGTATACGACTTATACGCAGAGGAAGGAATAAAATTAATTTACTTGGCATGGGTGCGTTCAATGGTACAAGCAGGAAGAGCAGCTTAAACAGTGAGAGCCAAATTGAAATTTGGCCGTTATTAGCTTAAAGATAAGATTTAGAAGGGGAGCTGATAATGCATGATCACCTGTAATCTAAAATAGTGACTGTGAGTAATGGAACGGTTGCTTTATCACAGAACTGGCAGGTCGTGTTTAAGTTCGAGTCCTCGGGCTGCCATCCGGCCATTATTTCCTCGTCGTAGAGGATGGCCGAGCAGTTGTGGCATCGACTAGCGCTCGACAGCACCAGCTCCACGGCCACTCGATCATCCAATTCTCGGGAACCCTTTGGATACAGGCACTCGGCGAGCTCGTACAAGGATCCCAAATCCACGCTCGCCTCCCCTTTAATAATTGTTGGGTTTTTTTCCCCCATTGATTGCTTCTATTTTCTATTATTTTAACGTCGAGATAATATAAAATTGAAGAGATTACGCCGATCGGCATTTCCCGTAGCTAAGTACATAAATTACGTAAGAAAGTATTGGCCGAGAGAGCTCCGTGATTAGCGAGCTGTACGTCCACAACTCTCGCGATTATGATTTTCAAAGGAAATGCCGATTGCAATTGCTTTGGCAAAAATTTGCCAAAAGCTCCTTGGTGTCTCGTTAAAATAAATTCGTTAAACTAGTCGCCCAGATCGTGTAATTACCAGCCATTCTAGCGGAAAATTCGTTGCGATCCTGTTGCGAGCCGTCCGTCAGCGAGTCCAAGCTCTCGTGCGATATGCCGTAGGCCAGCTTCTGGTCGCGTTCCTTGAGCTTCACGGGCGTGCTCGTTGCCGAGATGGCCTCCTTGATTTCGTCGAATTTCTTCGCGACGGTCGTTGCCGCGGACTTGAGGCTGTTCAGTCCGCCGAGGATAATCTCGTTTGATTTTTTCCCAGTGAGACCCGAGGGGCTATGAAAACAGCGGCAAATTCATAATTTTCGCATTGGTTTAGCGAATTACAAGCACACTTTCTATCCCACCACACTCAAGTGCAACTTGATGTTTAAACGAGATTTTTAGCGGACAAATGCGCTAATAATTATTTACACGTTAACAACAGTTTTATTCATTCTAAAAGTATTTTAATCATTTATAACTAACGGAGCACGAAGTTTATAAATACGGCAGGTATTCATTGTTATGACTTTTAAACTTTATATTGTAATCAATGATATTTATAAATTATTATTGTAGAATCGATTGCTTGTGGTATTATTCGAAGCAGGGTAATTTTGAGAAGCGAATATTAAAATAAAACAAAACAAAACAAAACAAAAAAAACAGCAACAACAAAAAACAAAACAAAAAAAAATTAACCTATAAAAAGCCTATGCATCGAATTTTTCAAAAATAAAACTTTGCATTTTTCCAATACAAATCATCATTGATAAAACAATACGTAATATTTATTCGCATTAAGACAATTTGAAAAAATGATAACCGCAAATCTACTTAACAATTGTGTATGAGCTTTAAATAAATTGAACGGTAAACTGCTTTAATTCTATACAATTAATAGTGCGTAAATACAGTGTACGTAAGCTTTTACGAATCAATGAGAAAAAATATGTCATTTTTTTTCTTTTTTTTTTTCTTTTTTTTTCATCGGCCTTTACCTGATGTAGCTGGAGAGACTGAGAGATTCGATCAGTTGATTCGTCGATATTAATTCCTTGTTTTTGGCAAAAGCGAGTCCTCCGGTCGAATAGCGTCTGTATTCAAAATTATACTCAAGCCAAACGTGCACAAAAATCAAGTAGGTATGGTAGTAGATGACGTTGTTGAAATTATAGTAAAAATAAAATTAATTAGCCAAACAATTAATTCATATTATATAGTTATTTACTAGGGACATTGATAAAACGTATGTAATAACGACGAGAAAAAAAAAAATCAAAAAAAAAAATCAAAAAAAAAAATCAAAAAAAAATCAAAAATCAAAGACACAAGAGAGGACAAAATTAATAGCAAATATAACAAATAAGTGCCGATTAGCTAAAAAATAAATTAACGAACAAAGATCATGCCACTAACTCTAATGTGAATAAGAGAAATTGTAAAAGAAATCATACGTAATCATAGAGTCGCTTGTTATTGTTACCTGGAAGTCCACGGCCAACTAGGAAATTACCCTCTGAGATTCAAAACTTTTAAGTCTAAATACTAAGCTAATATTATCTTTGTAGAATAGAGCCTAAATGGCTTTATTCCTTCGATCTCTTTTATTGGAATTTCACAGTGAGGAGATTATTCGAAAATTATTTGTCATTACGGCAAGCAAACTAGCATTCGCATTAATTCGTTGAATAATGAATGCGAAAATAAAATTAAAAAAAAATAGTTAATAAAAAATGGCAATTGAAGATTTATTATTTACAAGCATTAGGTTATTGGCCATATATAATTATACGAAATGAAAAGCCACTATTTACGTTATTAGGGTTAATTTAAGTTAATTAAATTATTAAATATCGCGTTTAATATGATTATTAGCAAGATTTTCGACGATGCAGCCACATAAATATAACGCTGCTTTGCAAACAAGTAAATTCTTTAATAATAATTTTTTCAATTGAAGAAAGTGTCGGATACACTAATGCATCGATTAAGCAAGTAGCTTAATCATCGTATAATCGAATACTCCTCACTGTGAGCGCCAACGATAATCGATCGTAGTCCTTTAAATCGAGAAACATAAATGGTCATTGTCATTGTCACCGTCTCTTACCCAAAACTAAGTTTCAGGCTCGAGCCAATACTCGACAAGCTAGATGTCACGCTGTCCTTGTTCTGTGCCCACAAGCTCCCGAGCTCGAGACGCTCGCGTTCGCGCTCTTGCTCCGCTTGTTGCACCGAGTGGGGCATCGTCTCGCTGCGCTGGAGGTGACTCCCGACACTCGTACCCCCGGCCTCCTCCATGGCAAAGGTCGCGCTTCGTGGCAACGCGTTACTGCAATTAAAGAGTTAGTTAAGACTAATTAAGCTCGTCGTTGGCCACTTTCTCTCTCATTCGCGAGCTTATGCGTCGTCTGCCTTGTTCGGCGACGAAATTTATAATGCACATTGAGAGTTGCATTGAGTTTATTCGATTATAATCGGCAATTTAATTCTTAAATGCCTATTTGCTTTGTTTAAATCGAGTATTTTAAGATGCCCGTGATTTTTTTTTATTTACAATATCGAATCTTCGCTTCTTACCAATTGGAATAGTTACGCGAAAGCGGCTTAAAATAAATGCTCAAGCTCCATATCAGTAATTATTCTTCTTTCATCTGTTCAGTAATTAGAAATTTCTAATATATCCGAATGGGGTACGAAAAACCTATAAGTCATTATGCTTGTGTAATATCGATACTTGAGTGTAAAAAAATACACGAATAATTCATATCCGTGTATCTGTTATATACGAATATTTCTTTCAAATTAATGCCATATTATACGTTTATGACAGTTGACATTGTTATTGGAAAAGTGCTTTATATATTTTACCTTCAGTGTATAAAAAATACGAAAAAATAAGGGAAATGCTGCTAATATTATTACCACCACCACCACCACCACCACCACTACTGCTACTACTACTACTACTACTACTACTACTACTACTACTACTACTACTACTACTACTACTACTACTACTACTACTACTACTACTACTACTACTACTACTACTACTACTACTACTACTCTTTTTATCTACTACGCTCTTTTTATCGTTATCCTTATTATTATTATTATTATTATTATTATTATTATTATTATTATTATTATTATTATTAGCGGACAATGATTGCTTTATTAATAGCAGCCCGGCAATTGTACCTGCGAAAAAGTAGAGGACCGCCAGGTCTGTTATCTTCCATCGCGTTGCTTAGGACGGTTAAGGTGCTCGTCGAGCAATTAGAATCATTTTCTTCGCTAGGCGAAACGATGGGTGTGTCGTCGTTGGCAAGTGCACCCAATGGATCATTTTCTGTGACGGGCGTCCTCACGGGACTTTTCACCGGAGATTCCAAGCATCTCGCAAACCTTCGATATAATTATCAGCCATTATCGATAATAATTGTTTTCTTACAGCATTAGGTAATTTTAGACCTTAATTGATGGTATTTAAGAAATTCAAGGTCACGTATTATCACGGGCAATTGAATTTTCAATTTACTATTTACTAAGTAAAAAGATAATTATAAAAGGTGACATTCTTTGAATTTTACCTGGGATCGCTTGGCGAACGATTAAGAGCTTCGGGCTGCGAATTACAAAGAATTGCCGTATCTTTGACAATACTATTTTGCCTGGGCATTTGTTTTTTCATTTCATTGACTCCGAAAGTTGGAAGATCTGATATCGAGCTGCCTTTTAGAGCTGAAAAGTACAATTTCTTAATTGTGCGCGAGGCAGAGTAACTAACTACATGTCAAATGGCATAAATTATTGCTCGTAAGCTGGGGTAAAGGATTGATTAAATATCGAATGCCATTTGTCTCACTGAGTTGTGAGAAAATTGTGAGAAAATTATGAAAATTTTCTTAATTGTTCATCACATTTTCGCGCAGAGTTGAAGTAGAGTTGAGAGTGCTTACAATCACTGTGGGCGGTTTCCGTATCCTGCGAGTGTGTGCTATCGAGGCTCGAGCGTGAGATCGCGTGTCCTATATTTTGGCCTTTAAGCCCATCGGGAAGGAGTAGAGCCTCGTTGTTTATGCCTAATCGACGCCTGGCGCTCTTTTTCCCGGCTTTCTTGAACAGAGCCGCGCCCACGATCACGTTACGTAGTTTGTTCCACATCAACTGGCTCGAATTCGTCATATCCGAGGGCCAAGTCGCTTCGAGTACCGCCTAAATAACGAGCATTTTAGTGTGCACATCAATTTTAAATTAAATTTTTCCGTATATTATAGTTGCGTAATGGCGAATTTCAAAATACATATTTGTACAATTCGTACAATCGTTAAAATTAATCGGCTCGTTTGTAAAAATTCACGGGCAAATAAAGAAAAAAATAGTTTGCCCAATTCGATTAGATTTATATCGAATTGCTATTTTTATCATAAAACGAGCGACTTACTTTGTTATAAAATCCATATGTAAGTGCATTTGGTTGAACACCACTACGTTTCATGTGAAAAAGAAGCTTGACAGCAAGTACCGGTTGCCCATAAACTCCACAAAGTTGCATCATAGCTCGATAACAAACCTATGCAAGTAATTTTTTTGTTTTTTTTTTATCAATTTCTTTATATATACGTTTATATCAAGTTCTCGTTTCGTATAGTAGATTTTATTTATTGTACATTAATCAGGAATCGACTATTAAATAGTATACTTTTTATCGTACCTCTTCCATCGGATCTAATCGCAATTTTTGCATTTTTACAAGTAATTCGTAAGCTTGATGTAATACATTTGCTGGCTGATGAGATACCTGCAGCATCGCTGGCAAATGTAAAAACCATAAGCTATAGCAAGTATTAAGTAAACAGCGTCCCCAGCGTTCGGGCAGGGCTGCCTATAATGCAAAAATTCTGTGCTTAAATGGTCAATGGTAAATTCACATTTCTAGTTCATCAATAACAAGAACTGCTGATTTATGATTGAAAGAAGACAAATGTAAAATGTAAAAAAAATAAATAAATAAATAAATAAAGACATTCCTTACGTACCTGCTTACGAGCCATTCTTTGAGCAACTTTAATTTCATATTTCGTTCTACGTGCCATTGGACTTCCAGGAGCCATGCCAAACGTGTTAAGGGCTGGATTTTTTAAGTGAAAATTCTTTTGCGGGCGCATTAATTTATGATCTAGCTTAAACTTTTCATACATTATCGCAGATTGATTGATACCTGATTCTGGCGGAGGTATAAAAACTGTTCTCTCGCTGTGTTGGGATTCATCTAATTCCAAAAATGTAGCTACAACAGATAAAAAGAGCACGGTTAATTGACCGAGTTTGAAAATAAAAGGAATTCACTCACCATTCTCTTCTTCGACTCTCTCGGTGCATTCGTCGAAGAAAGCGAGGCCCGCCATATCCATATCGGAAACAAAACTTCGTTCCTCTATGAACCTAAAACACGATTAAAATCAGATGATAATAATGCAACATTTTTATAACTTTTTATATTATTGTATTATAATATTTTTAGTGCGTGCTGTGTTATATATATATATATATATATATATATATATATATATATAACGTTATTGTAGCATCATAACGAATAATAATTCTATCGAAATAATTAATAGAAAACATTGAATGTAGCCTTTTACGTGGAGATTAGGAGAGAAATAATTAAACTAAGGGACATACTCGTGTGATCAAATATTAACGTAAGCTTCAATGCTCTCTCTCTCTCTCTCTCTCTCTCTCTCTCTCTCTATCTATCTATCTATCTATCTATCTATCTATCTATCTATCTATCTCTATCTCTATCTCTCTCTCGAGCAATGAAGTATATATATATACATATCTATCTACTAAATTACGTATATTTAAAAATGAAAAATATTGTCAAAGTTAAATTTTATCGGATATGTGTATATTCGACATAATCGACTTTGCATTGAATATTTGACTCTAAGGTATGTAAGGGTTGGAGATGTAATAATTCGTAAAATTAATAGCTGGATGATTTACAGCCGGAGGAGCCATTGACTGATTGCCTACCTAATAAACATCTGCGTGCGAACCACCATACTATAAAACTTGGCATGATTCTTATCTCTGCTCCTGAGGAAACCCTGGATGTTGAAGAGACTGGTGGGATCGGTGGTGCCGACCGTCGGTGCCTTGGTAATCGGCAACAAATAAGCCCTATAGCCTTTCAGTATGAGAGCCATGAATCTGAGGAAAGTGTCCTGGATCTCGAGCTCCAAGGCCTGCTCCCGTCGCTTCTGCTGAAACTCCTTATCGACCCTGAAGTCCTTGTCGTCCACCGTTATTGCCGATCTCTCCTGCATGTGATTCTTATTAATCGTGATGAGCTTGAGGTAGAGCTTGTCGAGGGAGCTCTTAAGGGTTCGCGCGGCCTTTTTCGGCAGGAGCTTGTTGTTGAGATGCCTCTTGTCATCGCAGATGGCAATGTTGTTTGTGTCGAGGTTCACGCAGTTAACGTCCGAGGGCGGGTCATAGAGGTCGAAGAAACGTGAGTCGACGCCTATGAGGAAGGGCAAAGGTGCGTGCAGCACCTCCGCAAGCCCGAGCGGACAGAGTGGAATATAAGGGCACTGCCACTTGAAGGGAAACAAGATCATGGCGATGGCTTCGCTCACCGAGGTCAGCACGTCCGGACGCAGGGAGTGCACAAGAATCTTCTGCTCAGTCAGGGCCAGCAACAAAATCAGCATACAGTTGTCTGCTCCTGGATACCGTAAATACATTACAAATATGTATATGGCTAGCTATATGTGTAGCAAACTGTATTTCACGTCTATTATTATAAAAATCGTTCCGTTTTCTCGCCGATCGACTGATTAAATTGACGTTATCATGGCAATCTTATGGCAAATGGCAAATAAATGCATACCACTTATATTGTCTGGCTTATTAAAAGTGAGCTTATCACGTCATTAAAAGTCTATTACGGCGTATTGAAAAATTTGAATTATTAATTTAGGTGAAAAAGAAGAACCTGTTTCACCCGTAATGAATTGCGTAATAAATTCGTGAAATATTAATGCATTAAGGAAACAAAAAAAAAAAGTGACCAGAAAATTATTAAGAAATTTTTAGGTTCTAAAAATTTACTCAAAATTTACTCAAAATTTACTCAAAATTTACTGAAAATTTAGTGAAAATTTGCTTATATGTATATTGGTAGTTTAAAATTTCATCCTTCCAACGTTAAAAGCTCCTTGTAATACCTAAGTTGATAAGCAGTTGACGAAAACTTGCCCCGGATCGGGGAAGAGCCAAATCCTCCGGCTGTGTGAGTATCAATCCGTCTTGGGAACTCAATTGAATGAAAATTCGAGGCCGTTGAGGACTGGGAAACGGTATGTCACAAAGGAAGTACGAGATGTATTTCTCAATAGGCACATTTTGTGGTTGACCGTTCACGAGTCCGTGTAAAAAGCCGAGAAAATGCTCGAAAGTATCAAAGAAAGGCCAATGTGAGAGAATACATATGGACTTGCTTATATTTAAGGACTGCGTGGATGGATCGGTATATTGAAGCTTCTCCAATTGCGATAAATTCAACTTCTTAAGTATACCAAACTTCTTAAAAGGCTTCTTTTTTAATTCTAGTTTGGAGGTTATTATTCCGGACGGTTCTGTTGCATCTTCTGAAAAATTGAAATACTTTAATGAATTTTTAAATTCGCTTAAATTATGATTCGAGTTTATTGTGCAAAGGCTTATTGCAATATTTATTAATAAAGCTTGATTTCGGATTTTTTCTAGTTTATATCTTTTTTTTCAACTTTATGAAAAATGAAGAAAATATTAATTTTTGCATTTTGCTTAACATTACTTTTGCCATAAACCTTTCTAATAATTATGTAAAGTATCGAATTAATCCATGAATTTATGTTACGTATACACGCTTTGTATAAAAGTACAAAAATTAATGGCATTAAAGGACTAACGTGTATTTACAAAGCAAAAAATACAACATTTTTGGTGAAAATAATATTTACATTTAAGGATTTTGTCTGTAGGGGGATTATAAAAATTAATATAGCCTACGTACGCGCTGGTATAAATATTATAATAAGCTTGGCAATTTGTAATACTATTCATTACATACCAGTTTCATTTTGTGGAACTTCCACATTATCTTTTATAACTTCATTATCACTAATATTATCTAAAGGTAAAACTTCCTCGTAAAAAGTTATCGCGGATCCATAAATTTTCTGTGCAGCGTCAGCAACAGTTAAAACGAAAGTCGAAAAAACTGGCTTTGGTTTACTTGCAATTTTTGGCCAACATTCGATTGTAGCTCCCATTGGTAAGCAAAACATGGCAACAGAATTAGGAAATACAAAGTTATTATAGTCTGTGCTTGGATACTTGTATAAAATAGCAGGCTTAAATGAAATGAGATTAGCCCGGTTCATTGATTTCTTGTAGCAGAGATAAACGTCACTACCCAGCATTCCTTTATTCAGGTTTTTTGAAATCACACAAAATGCATGAGGTGGATTTTCTCCTTTATTTATCAATATGACACACACATCGGTAACGACTAACGAATTACATGGCATTTTTTTACTCGCTCTACGATACGTAACAAAAATTCTTGATGTAGAATTATTAACATTAGCCACGTAACCGGTTGGGGTTTTCATTACAATTTCTGCATCTTTCATTATTCTTTCTTTTCCATCGTATATTACGCCTATAAATTTCATTCAAATTGTTAAAAAGAAAAAAAAAACAGATTGATTAGAATACATTGTAAACAAATAAATAAATACATAGTTAAGCGTTTTATTTACCAATATCAACGAGCGGTGGCTTATCTCTACCCCTACGGTAACATAAATAACATTCTTCGGTGCGTAAACTACCGTGATTTAAATCTGCTTTAAAACCACTAACTGTATACTCCAATAATGAAAAACCTTCCGGGCACGTTTCTCCAAGTGCTGGAAAAATGATGGCCAAATCAGTTATCGGTGCTTGTAAGTTTGTGTCTTTAAGATGAGTTCCTTCCTGACACCAATCTTCCAGTTTCTCGTCCGATTCCCCTTTATTTTCATTTTCATCATTTTTCTCGATAGCAGAATTTAATTCATCTTCGTCCTGTGCCGGAAGCCCAGCAACAACAAAATAATCCGCTACTCTGCGTTCATCCATTGCAAATCCTTACTTTATTACCCACTTAGGGTAAACTTCACTGCAGTATTGTAATATTTCATGTCGCAATCATTACCGACTACATTAGCTTACATTATACAATATTTGTAATAAAAAATAGTTTGGAATTTCTGCTAAATCCGACAAAATCCATATCATAGGCGCTCTACAAATATAAACGCCTAAAAGTAGGTTATGTGAAGAGTGCCGTGCTCCGATAATTGAATCCTCTTTAAAATCCTATTTACATCATCGAATACCTCTTCAATGACGTTTCCTCGTCGGACTTTTTGTTTTCTCAATCATTGCGTTCATCATTATCTTCCTTTTCTCTACCTCGTTTAAGGCGGAGCAGCAACATAACCTAAAACTTGAAGAATACTCATTCACAGCGCAATTTATTTCAGTCTACAAAATAGCTTACTTCATAATACTATTAATAATCGAGGCACTGTTATTATATATCGCAATAATTTGAGAAAACAGAAGCTTAACGTATCAGAACAGTGCATTTAATAAAAACATATTACATAGGAATGTCGTTAAATTATCAATTCGGACGATATTTAAGACAATGCGGCGTATTTTCAATACTCAGCTTCATTGGAGATTTGCCTTTTTACACTTTTCCGCACCTTTGATTGAAAACTTTTTATGTTCGTCAATGTAAACCTCATTCTACCTGCTCTAAAACTTTAAATCAATGAGTTAACGTACTGGACGTATATTACTACCTGAAAATCCTAGAGTCTTATTGCTCTACCAAGGTATTTAAATTTATCGACTTGGTCAAAATCTTCCGAGAAACTAATATTTTTTCAATCTAAATCTAATCTATTATTGATGTATCTTATTATTATTATTATTATTATTGTTGTTGTTGTTGTTGTTGTTGTTGTTGTTGTTGTTGTCGTCGTCGTCGTCGTCGTCGTCGTCGTCGTCGTCGTCGATGTTATTATTATTATTCGTCTACTCTTAAGTATTCTTAATTCTTTACTTTAAAAAAAAAAAAAAAAAAAAAATTGAAGAGAAATGATATAATATAAAAGTTTCATAATTTTAAATACATTTCTTTATTAATTGCGGCAAATCAAAGCCAACAACAAACAATTAACTTTTACTTTTTACCGCGTCAATTTATAATAGCATTATTTATTCCAAAACTATATTTATGATAGATAAACATGCTGATTAGTGCTATTGTTTATTGGTCGTTTATATGTTGTTTAATAAATAATCATATATGCATATTGCCTGCTGTACTGTTTGATTGATGCGATCTTTTTCTATAACATAATTACGAAGTATTTTAAGCGTTATAAATATTTATTGCGTATGTAATTATTACTTACATTAATGTAACCAGCGAAATATATTGTTACATTATTATCGTCTTATATTAAGCTCAATTTATTTGAAAATATCTTCTGATGAAATTTATAGTTGAAATTTAAAATTTAAATTGTTGCAAATGCTATTTATTGTATTGAATTGTATATACTTATAGATTAATTTAATTTTTTTTTTTATTTTCGCCTTCTTCATATCGATACAAATTTTATTTTTTATATTTCCCTCCAAATACTTATTTGCATTTCGAAAAATCACTCGATTTTACTTTTTTTTTTTCATATTATGTTTATCTATATCACTCTCGATTATTTCATTATTACATTATCTTGGGGAAATGGCTATTACTATAAATAATTAAATTTCTCATCCACATATAATGCATAATAAAAAATTGAATGTAAACTCTATTCACCAATAATCAACTAACTTTTTTTTTTTTTTTTTTTTTTTTTTTTTTTTTATCAATTACTAAATACATTATTATTTACTAAAATTGAAAATCTTATTATGAAAAAACTTATTCTTACAATCAATTATTAAACAATAATTATCTCATTATATTATTGATCTCTAGCGTTCGTTTGCTTCCAATTTACGTATTATACGCACTTAGAATTGCATTGTACTTGGAGTCAAAATTTGATATTTCTTCTTTTATCTTAAAAAATTTTTGTAAAATTTATCTCTTATCTATCGATCGATAAAGTTCCTTTATAAATCAGTGCTTTAACTATTCATTCTAAATAATAATCAACGATAGCTTATTCTAATAAATTCTTTCTTCAATACACTGTTAAAAATTAATTTTTTAAATAACTTTAACACTTGGGGTAATGCATATAAATCTACCGAGCTTCAATTTGAAGAATACGACATTCCAAACACTATCGACATATTTGACATACAAATTACAAAATACAAAACACAAAATCCATTTATTATTAAAAAAAAAAAAAAAATGAAAAAAAAGAAGTTGATGCACATTGAAAATGTTTGATGTGTGGTGAGTAGTCCCACGTGGGTAGTGGGTGGTGAGTGACATTGAAGGTCCAATACTTGGAAGTTCGAAATTACCAAGGTTATAATGTGATTTAAACTTTTTGACTCGTAATTGCTTGACTTCATTCAATCTAAAGCATTGAAAGTTGCATAGGTTTATCCGAGTTGAAACTTGTCAATCTCTTATTGAATTACAAATTAAATGATGAAATTGTACTTTACAACATGAAATGTAAAATTTGACATTTAACTCTCTCATCGCACATTGACGCATGACTTCATTTATTTATAAATTACTTATATGCAATGCAATTGCAAAATTACGTTGTTTACGTAAGCCAATTTTACCTTTACGATATATTTATTAAGGAAAAATCGTGTTGCAACCTTGGAGCACTTAATTTACTATTGTCGAATTCCTTATTGACCCTTGACTTCCATTGCGCGTTACGTGTTCGCAAATAGACACACGTATACTTATTACTATATACGTAATTTAATATTCGTACGTTAAAACCATGATATGAATATTTCATAATTTATATTTTTAAAATTTGTATATTGATGTGATGTTCGCGAGTGCAATTTTTAAGCGTTAAGACAAAATTCATGTTTTTCAGTTTAAAACTATTGCTTGTAAAATTATTTCGACAGAATCTTATTTTAACTATATATATATATATATATATATATATATATATATATATATATATATTACGGCTTTATTTCTATTTTACATTGAATTTCATATTGAATTTATTTAATCACAAAAGTATCCGTCTACCAGACTTACCCCTCTTCTACTGAATCGCACACATAGGCGCATGCACGTGCGCTTGCGTGTGTGCGTGGGCTTATGCATATTCACGGCCTGGATAACGATTCGTTTGCGAATGTCAATGTAAATGTAAATGTAAACTGGGACTTTCCAAAGAATTTTTGGGATTTCTCGATTAAAAGTTTCGTGTGATGTAATCTATATATCTAGTGTATTTTTACGTCAACGATCACTAGATTTGTTATCATTGATAGCTATGTTATCATTTATTCGTAAACTAGCTATCAATGACAAAATACGAGATGGTTTGCTTCCTAATAGAGCTATGGAAAACGCTGAGGATATTTTAAAAGTGAAGAATCAAAAGGAACTGATATCCAAAGATGAAACAGAGCTCAAAGAATCTATTTATGGTATGGATATATTTTTGGTAAACCTTTATCCTTGATCTGACGATTCTACTATGTATAAAAACAAGTTGAGAAATGTCAGTTTTTGAGGTTATGTTTATGAGACAGAATTGAAAAATAAAAATCTTTGGATTTGTGAAATTACTTTTGTCTGCTTTATTCACAGTTGATTTGCTTCAGATTTACTGCGAACCATAAAAGATCCGGAAAAACCGCAAACATTAGAGCAGCTCGATGTTGTTTATGAAGATTGCATTAACATTCAGGAGGCAACACCCGGTGGAATAACGGTTATTCGAGTAGAATTTAATCCAACGGTCCCACACTGCTCATTAGCAACCCTAATTGGACTTTGTATTAGAGTAAAACTAGAACGTCATTTATTAGCCATTTTCAAGTTGGATATTTATATCAAACAAGGTGCTCATTCTACAGAACAAGAAAGTAAGCTATAGTATAATTGAAAAACATGATTTTAAAGTTAATTGGAATTGATGTTTAAAGATTTTTTTATATGTGCTATACATTCAATTATTGTATATATGTAAAAGTACTATTGTATAAAAAGAAAAAAAAATCCCTTTCTAGTAAATAAACAGATCAATGATAAGGAAAGAATTGCAGCTGCTATGGAGAATCCAAATCTACGAGAGCTTGTAGAAAAATGTATCAAAGAAGAGGAATAACGGTCCTCGTTTATTTTTATAAGATTTGTATATAATTTATAATTGTTATATATAAAATTAAGGCTAAATATTGGCTTGTACATATTAATCGATTAAATATTTTATAATAAAATTTTATAAAATATGGATACTTTATGCTGCGTTTTCTCCACCTTCTACAGTGTCGGTTAACAAAATTTGCGAAAGATTAAGAGATATTTGTCCCTCGGAAGTCTTAGGCTCTTGCTACAATAATATTTATAATGAATTAGAAAAGAACAAGCTGTTGTACAAGAAAATCATAATAAAATTTGAAAAATTACTGGATAAAACTTAAGAGGATATTCATATTTTACGAATTTTCTTTTAGCCTTCTTTTCTACAACAATTTTAGGTTTAATTATCTCTTTATAAGGCATATATAGAACTGAATTTGGTAAAAAGCCAGTAATTGGAAGTCTTGAATTTTTTATTAAATCTGTTATATTTTCATTGCTATCGAGATTATCAATATCGTATCCTGAAAAAATATTAATGAAATATTATCCATTTTTTTGTTGTTGTTTAAAGTAAATTTTAATGTAAAGCATAATCTGCATTCTCTACCAAACAGCATATGAAAAACGCCACGTTCATTGAAAGATTTTTTTACTTTCGACTTTTCTTTATAGTAATTTAGAAAATTGTACGGTGGTTTTTCCGGTGAATGGCGTGACATACTGTTTAACAAATTTTGTACATACTTTTCCCAATCTTCTGTATTCAGAACACCTTTACTTAACACCACGTTCTTCGGTTTCATATAATTATTCTTTATTTTCATTATTTCTGATAATCAATTATTAACAAGTAAATTATTAAAAATTATACATACACACACACATATATATATATATATATATATATATATATATAATCAATAAAATTACATACTGAAAAATCGATATGTAAAATTATATGAAATCAGCGTATACTGCAATATTGTAATTTATTGATACTTAATTTCTAGCGCAATTACTAAATGAATTTAATTTTTACAAATTTAACTGAATAATAAGGGGGGGGGGTAACCAAACAATAAATAATAATAGAAGATTATATTTATTGCAGAAACGAATCGTTTTTAGGCACATATAATAGTTTTTATTAATTAAGCTAAATAAGTTATAAGCATACGCAATGAAAGAAAAAGCATTTAAATGCCGAAAAAAGTGGAGGAAAATTCGGTTAAAATGTGGGAAACAACATGAATAGCAAAATATTAAATTACACCAGCATAATTATACATCCTACTAAATATGGCACACATCTACTTACATTTATATATATATACACTATTCGTGTCAACTCACAAGAAGTACATACTCATAGCGTAAAAATACATTTGATTTTCAGCAAATTCTATCTAATTTATTCTATTATTATTTCTTAAGTATTTTAAAGGAAAATGAAAATAAGGCTAAAAGCATTGATTTTAAGTTGTTTCACATTATTAACCAGTTAAATGTATATTATACTTTTTATACGTGCAATAGATATTTTTCACTTTAAGTTACAATATTATTTATTTAATAAAAATATAGATTATAAGAATAAATATCCCATGCGTCGTACATACTTTATTTGAGTACGTTTTATGTTTTTATTTTTTAGCAATTATAAGTATTATTTATATGGTTTATGATATTGTCATTATCATTATGAGAAATTGAATTTTAAATTTTGTATGCTTATGACAAAGAAAATATAAAAAAATAATATATGTTTAATGTTAGTTTTTTCAACGTTATTATAAGAAAAATGAATCATTATATATATATTTTTTTTTTTTCTCTTTTTTTTCGATTATTCGTACATAAATTATTCATGCACTTATGACAAAGAAAATATAAAAAAATAATATATGTTTAATGTTAGTTTTTTCAACGTTATTATAAGAAAAATGAATCATTATATATATATATTTTTTTTTTCATAATTTTTGTACAAATGTCAATTGTAATGATCAATAATAATGAATCAATGAATATTAAACATATATTGAGCTAATTTTTACCGACTATTTACCATGTATTACGATATTAAAATTTATTACACGAATATACATATTATTCGATATTACCTTTATCTCGATAATTAAGTATTGCACAGATTTGTCTCAAAATTAAAACATCCACGCTTAAAATATCCGTATTTCTTATATCAATACACCCCAAAGGCATACTACTAACAGGATGTAACATTGCATTTTGATCATCAGAATTATTATTTTGCAAGCATTTGGATGCAATAAATTCATCTTCTTCGTTAGCAATTTCATTTGTAATTATTTTCATGCGATATTTTGGTGATAAATCTGCAATAAAAAGAAAAAAAAAGAAAAAAAGAGATTTTTAAAATATTTATGCAAAAAAATATTTACAATCATATTATATTAGTTTAAAATTCACAATTTTCATATGGAATTTTATAAAGATGTCGTCCAGCACCGAAAACTATATCACCTCTAGCGGATGAAAATGTCATGTTCCAAATACAAATATTCATGTTTAAAATCTGGAATACAGCCAACCGTATTAACAATATGTATCGATTTATATGTAATAAAGATCATACAGTAATTGAAAGTAGTATAAATTGAAACATGATCTTTGGATTTCAATAAAATAGTATAAATTGAAACATGATCTTTGGATTTCAATAAAATAGTATAAATTGAAACATGATCTTTGGATTTCAATGGATAGCATGTTGTGCACGTCTATTAAGTTTGAGTCTATTAAGAAAAATTAAAAGTCAACTTTAATAAGTGGCGGTGAGTCAATTATCTCGATTAAGTTTAATCGTTGTAATTTTCGGCACCTTTCACAATTTAACAAACATTTACAACAAATGGCATTGAGATTTTGACAAAATCACAATGAAATGAAAAATTATCCATTAAAAATAAATATAATTTATATAAAATATAAAAGACAAGTAATGACAATATAGCTATAAAATAAAATATCACCTTAAAAAATATGTTATATTGTAAAATTAGGAGCATAATATTATATTATATATATATATATATATATATATATATATATATATATATGTCTATCTAATTGAATAAGAACACGTATAAATATAATTGTTTAAAAAAATATTTATATTAATAAATTTACGAGTTTTAATTTTGTTAATAATTAATTTACTTTAAGAAGACAATTTTCTCGATCCCAAAGTCTAATTGTATTATCTGAAGACGATGTTGCACAAATTTCCAGTATTTCATTAGTTATAATACTTGTGATAAGTGCCGTATGATCTTGAATACTCTCGTGCTCCAAGTGAACTGAAAGAATATAGTAGAAATTGTAATTTCTCACGAATCTCCAAATATTCTCCTAATAATTAACATAAATGCCATACTTTGTGAAAATTTTCACTTATTTTATAATTATTGCCTAGAAAATATTTATTAAACATACACGTAATAATGTCTGTTGGATAAATATAAATATAACATTTTTATTAATTTTTATTTAATCATTATTATTCATTAAAACAAAAAAATAATAATAATAAATAAATAAATAAATACAAAAGTCAACATTTACATTTGATTTTGTTAAAATATATACTTAAGCTCGCTCTTACTAATATTACTTACTTATTCACGAGGCTTACTAACATAGCGAAGATAACATTTTCATGATAAACATATGCAAATACGGTCAAAGCTTACGAAAAATATTTCATTCTAAAATACTACATCCTAAAATACCTCTTTGTGACATATTTTCCATAATAAGTTGATGTCTTTTACTGTGTTTTGAGCTGTTTACCATACATAATACATCTCTGGAATTAAGAAACATTAGTAATTATAAATTTACATATAAATTCTTGTACAAAATCTTTCTATCGGTAGTATTAATATATTGTATGAGAAGTATTATTAATGTATTTCTGCTAGAATTTCGATCCCATTGACTTTATCAAATCGCATTTAATCATAAAAATTTATGATCTTACCCGATACTTGTCACTTGAGTTATCGGCGTAATAAAATAAAGCGAATAATAAATAATCAAACATATAGGCAAGTCGGCGAGAACGCGCCAAACTTTAATGCATCTATCGACTCCCAGTGAAATTACTTGATTCCATCTCGACGATGCCGTTAATTTCGCCACAGATCCTTTATGAGCCTTTTAATTTTCATATTTAACTTTAACTTTGCATAATGATATTTAGATGAAAAATTCAATAATGTTTTTAGACTCACTGAGTAAGTGCTTTTAGATTTGCCAGTATCGTTGTCTATGACAATAATATCTCCGTCCTCCGTCCCCGCTATTATTAATATACCAATTGGATGAAAAAGACGCGGCTCTAAAGGTAAAATGAAGGTATAATTTAGGTAAAAAATTAATTCGAGTCTCGAATAAAAAATTAATATCACGATATTATATTTATTTACTTCTGGGACGACCGTCACTGTAACGAATTTCATCAAAATACTCAAACATTGTCATACATGTTATTTGAGATCCATCATTTATAATTACATGCCTTTAAACAAATGTTATTTATATCAAATATATATTATATGAAATTACGAAATGATAAGGATTACGAGAATACGAATAAAGTCAATTACTTAAAATTCATGGGATAAACGCTAGTGTCGCTAACAAGAATGTCACCACTTTTTGAAATAACCGTAAACAGTGTATCTGCAATTATAAATTATAAGTGAATTTAAATCGTGAATTATTAATCAAGAAAAATATAAACGAAAATATGCAATTACTTTTCATTTCACTGTAAGTTGCTGATGTAGCATTTAATGATTGTTGCGATAAAATTTGGACGTTTATTTGATTTGCGTTAGAAGCAAATAGTCGCACACTATTATCAGCACAGGTTGCTACTATTTTCGTTGAGTACATTGGAGTATTTGTTGTAAATAAATTTACCGCTGAGCATCTATGGCGAAGAAAAGTGATATCATTAAAATTCAATTATCAAAAGTTATATTGAAAACGCCTAATGGCCTGTTTTTTTTTTCTTCTATTTCTTCGAACGAATGAATGAAATAATACGAATGTTTTTACGAATAATTTTTTTTTCTTATCATTAGAAAATAACAGAATTTACGTTTGACATTATATTGTATAGGTATTTATAGATTATACAAAATGTTTAAAATTTAAAAAAAAAATTTCATTCCTTATTCTTTTATGTATACACACCGTTTGTATATAATTGGTTATAGAAGCTTATAACGCACATTGATTAATTTGATGATTAACTAAAATATTAGCGATGTCTCGAAGGACGGTAAAACGAATGAGAGGTTATTTAGAGCGGCTGCTATATATATATATAAACATATCCAAGAGATTGATAATGTACGATATGTTAATAGGCCTCGATATAATAAACGACGGTCGCAGTTTCACCTTACGTAAGCCCTTGTTGAACGTACGTAGTGACGAGATAGTTAAGGTGGGATTTGGGGGGGGGGGGGGCA